AAGAGAGGCGACACTGAAATGGATCGATAGTGACGCACGAAAGAGAAGTAATAATGTTGGCTAGATCAAGCAGGCAACGAAAGAGTAAAAATGGAACAAAACTGGAACAAGTTAGTTGAAAAGTTTGCGCGCCATTACATTGGGTTACAAGTACGGGCACAAACTTCAATGCTGATTATTTAGAGCTGCCCTTGAAGCGACCACTACTTCTGCTGAGAGTTGACTTCAATGCACTGAGAGATGACCTGATTTTCAAAACTATGATCGGAAGTTTAGCTATACATTCTGTGGTAGAATGAGAGCCCTTGGTGAGGGCAACAACAAAGAAGAAACGGTTCCGTTAAAGTGGGGTAAAAAGGAAAACAAGAAAAAACTCAAATGATCCAGATGAGTTTTTGTTGTTGATATAAATCATTAAGAGAACACATACATTGTCAAATAATGAAATTATTGAAGAGGAGGAGGGGGAAAAGAAACAGAGTAAGCAAATAAACAACAAAACACTCTCTGCCCTACTTATTATACCGACAACCAAAGAAGGAAAAACTTGTACACTGCTAGAAAACATTAGTGACACTGTTCCGCAGTTCTGGTCACCGAGCTACACTGTCGAACACTGTCGAAACACACACACACATACCTGAAAGTAATTTGGCGTCTGAAAGCTCAGCTCATATCAAGATCAAAGCTGGGTCTTCTACTGCTGCTACTGCTGCTGGTGGACCACTTTCTGAGCGCACACACTTCTTCTTCTTCTTCTCCTGAAGCCAGTTTGTCACTGGGAAAGACTGAGAGCTGTCAGGTTAATCAGGAGAAAGCGGACTGGTGCCGGAGCACCTCAGCTGGCGTGGGCTGGTCAGCGCCAATGGGCTGAGCCGGTGGGTGGCAGATGTGACAGTTCTCCTGACCTGCAGAAATCGGCAGGGAAGATTGCAGGAGATCGAGGGCAGCTGGGCTCACTGGTGAGGGTCGGCGAGCACAACAACTCGCTAGCTGGCTGTCGCCTGAGCTGTGCACAAACTCCACCACCACTGTGGCCATCACTGGGCCAAGGGGAGGATGATGGCTCAAGGGGGATCAGCTGAAGACTGAATTATCATTCATTGACAACACACAATCTCGATTTAGAAAGACGACGACACTTTTATTCCCTGTCTCCCTGTCTGGCTGCGATTGAGGACGAGGACGAGTTGACTAGCTGACTTGGTCGCTGGCTCACACATCCTACCGTTGTAGAGGCGGTGGCGGGTTATATAGCGACAAAGGTCACACTGCTGCAGTTTGGAGAGTGCGCAGCTCAGTCTACTAGTTGACTCATATTGAGCGCATCTCTCTCACTTTTACTGACTCTCTCACTGTTACCCAAGAGCTGAACAAAACGGAAACTGAACAGCCGTAGCTGAACTGCAGAAGCTATATACCGAAATACGACAAAGATGGTGGCACTGTACGGCATAGCGTAATGGAATGTGTTCCAAATGGAAGGGAAGAGTGGGAAAAAGTGCACCAGCAGTGATTGCACTAGCAAAGCATCGAGTGCTAACAAGTGTTCTCTGACACTTGAAAAAACATTCTGCGAGCAATTTTGAGACTCACCTTACGTGAACGGTTTAGTGCACGGGTCATCACAAGAAGAGACCACTGGTGCTAATGTTGATGATAATGTTGACAGGGTTTTCCACTGCTGTTCTTTAACTCGAAGTGTCCACAATGGCAAAAGCCCGGTAAGCAGGGGACTCATTGACGACTGAAGTGTGTGCTGTTGGTCGGTGTTTGAAATGTGATCAGAAAAAGAGAGGGTGGATGATCAGATGATATTATTTATACCAGGCAGAGACAGAAGTTGTTAAGTTGAATAGTTTGCAGTTGTGCAGTTGAGTGTTGTTGAGTTTTTATTGCGAATGATGCTGTGGTGTTCGACCAAGGATTCAGCATTGAATGAACTCGCAAATGTCGAAATCAGCAGCCTCGGCAGCAGCAGGTACTCCGACTGTACGACGCTTTTCTTGTTGCCAGGCAGACTGCTGTAGCAGACAGCCAGTGAGGGAAATGAAGACAGACAGAAACAGAGACAGACAGAGCAGACAGTCCGAGGTAAAGTGAGCGCGACCAGCGCACAATTCACGTGAATGTACTTTTTTCGCTGCTACCATTTGGATAGTTGCGTCACTTTGTCTGTTCAGCACTCTGTTTTGGCTGGCATTGCACAGAATTGAGTCAGCAGGTTCTTATTCTCTCAAGAAGAGGAGAGGAGAGAGGAGAAAGGGAGGATTCTGATGGCAAAAAGAAGAACTGGGAAGAAAACAGTGCCACTCAAAACACTTTCTGGTGGTGGTGCTTTTTGCTGATGCAATGAGCAGCANAGAGAAGAGAGAGGAGAAAGGGAGGATTCTGATGGCAGAAAGAAGAACTGGGAAGAAAACAGTGCCACTCAAAACACTTTCTGGTGGTGGTGCTTTTTGCTGATGCAATGAGCAGCAGTGACAGCAGCAGATGACGAGCAGCTTTTTGCCTCTGCTGCTTTTTACTATTCTGTTCATGGCTAACTTTTTGGCTAACGAATGTACTCGTATGTTAGAGAAAAAAAGGTTTTTGCTGTCTGTTCAGTTTCTTTTTGCCAGTAGAGACGAGGTTCTTCGAGAGAATCTACAGTTTGAGTTTTGACTAGTGGAAATGACTGCGACTATATAGCACTAGAAGGAATCGTCAACATTATCACCACCACCATTTCTCCATCATCAGGCAAAGCTGTTGCTGTACCCGAGTGAGCACAGATTGGCACACGGCAACAGCAGTAAAAGCAACAGCAGCCAAACAGACGGCATTGTCGAGCACAACAGTGTGTTGCTAGTGAAGTTAGTCTAACTCTTCAAATGAGCATCCGATCATGCAGTGGATGCATGATCGGATAATGTGCTACAACAACTACCACTACTGAAATACTACTACTGAAATTGCCATTCCAGGGGTATTTTTGTTGATGATTGACGGCGATATTGCCCAAGAGACCACTGCCACTGCCACCACAGCTGCACAAATCGTTAGGAAAAGTGGACTTGATGATGGTGATTGCCCAATAGAGGCACTGAAAAAAAGTATGTGCATAGCTTAAATAAAAGTGGCTTCAGTGGAAAGAAAAACAGGTGACAACAACGTGCTCTTCGGAAAAAAGCAGAGTGGAAGCCAATCACCAGACAGACAGACAGAAGCACGTGATGCCGCCGAAATGTAGTAGTTCAGTGATAGTGCAAGCAATTTTATACTGCTTCCTTGACGTACCGCTGCACCAAAGTGTGTGCCTAATGGTGACAAACAGTATATCGAAACGAAAATTAGGAATCTACAACTGCTATCTATGATTCGGCGGTTTTTTGCTTTTGGGGAACTGCTTTGATGCGGAAAGTAGTTGCCGCAGCAGCCATATGGCAAACGCAACCGAACAGCAAGAGCACATTGCACCCGAAATGATGATGATGATGACCAGAAGAGATCTGTTTTTGTTTGTTTTTCCCAGAATAAATGGCGTCGCACTTTGCACCAGCGAAGCGAGGCGCACCAGAGACACACATCGTACCAAGAGCGCATAAATAAAAGCAGACAGAATTTACTCGTCGCAAAGTGAATGAGGGAGGGAGAGAGAGAGGAAGAACAGAACCAAACAGATGACACAGACAGACAGACGGTGCAGTGAGGGAGGGTGAAACAACAAAAACACAAAGTCAGACAAAGACAGCACAAACATACACACACACAGTGTTGAAAGTGTCGGAATGATCAAAAGTGTGTGTGTGTGATGTGGTGGGCTGTGTGCCAGCAAACACAGCAAAACACTGTGAGGATGAGGAAGTGAACCTTCACAGAAACACACAGCATCATCCCCATCTGTTCAGATACCTCCTCCACCTTCTCCTCTTCCCTCAATTACTTCATGAGAGCCCGCACCACGGCGCGAGCATTCAGCTGCTTCAGGTCGCGGTAGGTCTGCCCCACGCCGACAAAGACAATGGGCTGGCCGGTGATGTAGGTCATGCTGATGGCGGCGCCCACCTGGTCGTCGATGGTGTCGAACTTGGTCAGCACGATGCCGTTGATGGCGGAGACGGCGCTGTTCTGCGCCCCGCGGCACCCATTGTCCAGCAGGGACTTGTTGAAGTTGACCAGCTGGTCGACCGCCTCATTGCCCACCAGCGCCTCGCCCACGAACAGCGTCAGGTCGGGCTCGTTGACCTTGATCAGCTTCGCCAGCTGCTTCATCAGCGGCTCATTGCCCTGCATCCGCCCGGCCGTGTCCACCAGGCACACCTGGTAGCCGCTGTTGGCGGCGTAGCGGATGCCCTCCATGGCGATGCCCGTCGAGTCCTTGCCGTAGCCCTTCTCAAAGAGGTCGATCTTTGAGGCGCCGCCACCATTATCGCCCTCGTGAATGCTCTTCAGCGCGTGAATGTGCGTGCGCAACTGCTCAATGGCGCCCGCGCGGAAGGTGTCACAGGCGATCACCAGGACGCGCTGCCCATTGACCAGCAGCCAGTTGGCAATCTTCGCCAGGTTGGTCGACTTCCCCACGCCGTTGACGCCGCAGAAGACGATGACGTAGGGACTGCCGGCGTCGTTCTTCACCTGCACCTCGCGGAGAATGTTCAGATTGCGATTGGGCGAGAGGATGCGCAGGATGGACTCCTCGAGGGCGTTTCGAACGAAGCCCTTCAGTCCGGTCCAGGTGTTCACGTGCTGGCCCTCCAGCTTGGTGGCGACGCTGTCGCAGAGGCGGGTGGCAATCTCCACGGCGACGTTCTTCGCGATCAGGTGGTCGCGCAGCGTCGACAAAATCGGCTCCAGGTCAGCCTTGCTCAGCGGCTTGTTGTACGCAAAGGAGCTGACGATGGAGCCAAAGAAGCCCTTCTTTCCGGATGTCTGCTGCTGCTGTACCGCCTCTTCCTGCTCCTCGCCCTCTCCGTCCTCCTCGTCCTCGTCGTCGTCACTCGTCTCAAAGTCCAGGTCGGGCTGCATGTCAATGTCCTTAGCGGAGAGGTTGCCGTGAAGTGCATTTCGGACCACCGAGGAGGAGCCCTCCATCGAGGCGCCGCCGCCGTCTTCGCCGTTTTCGCCCTTCTTGCTAAAGTCCAAGTCACCAGCGCTCTTTTTGCCGCCAAACTCCCACACTGTCGGCTTTTTTGACTTTTTCTTAGGGTCCACCGGCTTGGCGGCCTTTTTCACCTTTGGCGAGCCTTTGACGGCGCCTTTAGCGGCCAACTTCTTGAAGACGTCCTCCGGCTTGGCGATGCCACCCT